GCGTGCGTGTGTGTGTGTGTGTCGAATAGAAGGTCTAAGCGTGCCTCCAACTCATGGCCACGAGCCACAAAGGAAGAAGAAAACGATGAGCCGTCCGTTCGGAGTCGAGATCTGAGTACTTTGAGGCTGCGTGTTTTGCAAGGCTCCTTTATGAATTCACGATTTCATGATTTGGAGTCTGGAGTGTTCTATCCTATCTGAAGACAAAGATCCGCCGTCTGTTTCATTCCTACTGTCGGCAGGGCCAGGGACGCGAGAAACCCCCGAACATGACATCTCACCTAGGTGGCACTTCTGGTGGCGGGCGTCGATCCTTGGGACGGTCCTGTGCTCTTCAACACGGACCGTGGTGCAGTTATGAGTTTGCTCCAACGTCCTACAGGTTTTTTGAGCCGGCGTGTTGCGACGTCAACCAAATCCCAGCATTGCAAAAGATGCGAGGGTGCTGACGGAGTTATCGCTGATCAGTGGAGAGTGCTGTAAAGACCTCGAACATCCCCAAAGCACTCTGAGTCTTTAAAGAGCTTCCCCCAAGCTTTGCGGCGAAGCCCGCAGTCTTTGGGCCTTTGTGGCTGATGCCTTTGTGGCAGGATCCATCAGGGACGTTCACGAAGTATGCGGCTGGCTCGGCTAGCCTGAACCAGGGCCCTTGAAGTCAAAGCGTGGGCGAAAGATGCTGTCGATTCGGTAACTAAGGCTGCGTGCGCGATTGGGAGCGCCCAAGAGGGAGCTACGAGCATGCTGCAGGATTTGGAGAGATTTTGAGTGAATGTGATGATGTTTGAATTGCAGCTGTGCCGGAAGCCTGAAGAAGCCATTCTGCTTCTTTCGATGTGTGCTCGAGTCCCCGCCGGAGTACTCTCCTTCAGTTGCGCCAGGAGCAGTACAACAAGGATATGACATTGAAGGAGGCAGAGATCTTGGCCTTGACGACACTCCGCCAGGCAGAGCGCCTACTCGGAGCATGTCGGTTGCCACTGGAGGGCTTCGGAGACATGATGAGTTCTAAGTTGGAGCTTCGCTCAGGTCATGGAGGAGAAGCTGAGTAAAGTCAACATCGAGGTTGGGGTGGTTCCAACGTCCACTGGAAAGCCGGGAGCTTGGCGAACAAAGCCCAACCCTCTCACTTGGAGTTGCCTGGCCTTCCTCTGCAGCACAGGTTCCGCTGCTACAATGCCGAGGAGTTGGAAGATGTGATCTCGCGCCTGTGGGGTTGCTCAGCGGTCGCTACCCTCACAAGAGTTGTCGGTTCAGGTTCAATTCAGCCAGATATGTGGCGAGAATTGCATGCTGCGGGCTGCGGGTTGCAGGAATCGAGCATCGCCGCATCGCAATGTCAGTGTAATGAAAACTGATTGCTCGGCCGGAAAGAGAAGAGCGCACCCACGCCGCCCAAGCCCAAAAAGGCCAGCGCCAACCGTGCCGACGCTGCAGACAGCGGCGGCGGCACCAGGCCGGAATCCCGGCACTCCTTGGACACTTCGCGATATTTTGCGTATCCTGCCGATGCAACAGAAGCAAGAAGAACACCACGACTGACCTGCAGGTCGAGGTGATCTCTCATACGGACCGTGATGAGGCAGGCTGTTGGATCTTAGGTCGTGTCACAGCCCAGACTGCCTGGCTCATCTTGGGCGCCTCTGCGCTTTGAGGTGCGTCCTGGTTGGCTGAACGAGTCGAGATGAGCGCATTCACAGAGCTCAGGAGACGCACGAGTAAAAAGGTACTGCGCGCTGCATGCAGAAGGACACCCGCGTGTATCCATGCAGCGCAGCAGAACGCTGGGGGGCCGCGGTAGCGTTTCTGCTCAGCAAGTGACCTTCTAAGCAACCTGATACATGTAGCAGGGAGGGACGGATTCCAACTTCTCGCCGAATCGGATCCTTGCTAAATTCAAGACGGGTCGTAGATGTTCGAGCCCAGTCCCTTTCAACCCTCCAACTGTCCAACTTCATTCCTCATGGCCCATGCGGGCAGCTGCGGCCGCTTCGCTTCGGGCCCTGCGCCAGGACTCGTGGAATTCTGAGATTCTGAGAGCATCTCGAGCCGCGGTTGTGAGGAGCATGGGGCCGGGGATGTGCCCATTGCCTTGCTGCTTGGCGACCCCGAGGTCGGGGAGGACTTGGGTTTGGGATTAGATCGTTGGAAGTCCTCCCTGCAGGCGCGCGCTCGGCTGCGAAGGCATCTGGGCGGTTCCCAGGAGGCCGTAGAGTTGGGTGCAGTGGCCGCCTCACAGCTTCTGGGCTGCAGAAGCTCTTGGCAGTCTGTATGTCACTCTCTCTCTCTCTCTTTCTCTGTCTGCCTGCCTGTCTGTCTGAACTGTCTCCCCCTCACTCTCTCTCTCTCTCTCTCTCTCTCTCTCTCTGTGTCTGGAGAGTCATCATTGAGTTGTTGGGGGTCCGCAACCTTTGCGCTCACAGCTCCTCTTCTCCAGGACCTCGCGATCTCCGATGTCCTGTCGGCAGTAGCCCAGGCTTCCCGGGCTGATCATCGTCGAACCTGCCGATCTGATGGGTGTCACCGAGGCAATCACGGCGACCTTTTAGGAGTTTGCGTCTGCGTGTCCGTCCTCCTGAGATCACGGAGCTCGCGACCTTTCTTCGAGGACTTCAGGCTTGCCGGCGCCAGTGTCTTGTGGCTTGGAATGTGCCAGCCTGCGCAGACAGCTCACGGGCTGATCCTCTGTGCAGACGGCGGACCGCCTGAGCAGCTCGGGTTGCTGGCAAGCGGCTTGCCTCACAAGCAGAGTGCTTTGGTGCGATGAGATTTGCTGCTGCCTCGTGGTTTGACTTTCTAGCTTCGTGGGCAACTTTCGGCAGACACAGCCTGCAAACTGTAAATCTCACCCCCTTGTTAGCCGCAGTTGTTTGGCTTGCATGGTGCCGGAGAAGGGCCTTGTCTTGCCGACTTGCCGAACTCGTTGCGGTGCTTCCGCCCTCTTGCAGGTTTCTACGGTGTCAGCACAGCCCTCAGCCAGAGACTCCCTCGGCCGATCAGCTCCAAGTCTCTGGCCTTCTCCGAGACCCGACTACCGGCCTCTCCCGGCCTCAGGTGAAACTGCTCTGGGAAGCTTCGCCGTTCTCTGTGGGCCCGGACCACTCGCTTCTCTCAGGCGATTGGATCAAAACGGTGGTGCGAAGTCTGCGCGCGCCCTTATCGGCATTGGAGGGCAGACAGGTTGCAGTTCGGAAAATCCCTCTGGCCCAACAACAAGCGCAGGCAAGCATTGAACCACTTCGTGGACACCGACTCGTTGCCTGCTTTCGACGCCGAGGATCCGCAGGCAGAGCCGATGAACGCAGATTGTTGGAAGCTTTCCTTGCTTCGTCACTGGGCAGTTTGCCGAGCAGCTCATCCGGCTACTCCACCAACGCCAGCCGCGAGGTGACTTGGGCGAGAGACAGTACAGGCGCAGTACAGGCACAGCCCAATAACACAAAGCCAAGATTGCGAGCCCTTGCGCTGTGACAACGAGCTGCTGGCACAGTACCGCAGCCCGGTCCTCGGCTCTCGGCTGCCTTGGGCGACGTTTTCATGGTCTGCTTGGTTTTAAGGCATTCGCCAACAGTTGGGCACAAGATCACTACCGGAAAGGCAGCAGACATCGAAAGCGCGTATTTGCGAGAGCCCCCCTTTCGCACAGGCGATCTGCAGACTTGGCACGATGCTCATCAGATCCATCGCCGTCGTCGTCCAACTCGCAGGCGCGAGTAGATGCACAGCCTGCGGGGTGCCACGCATTGCCGGAGAATGCACAGGACCCCGCTCGCAGCTGGACAGTGCTGGTCTTTGGCAAGACCGGCGCGGGCAAAAGCCATCTGGGCAACTTGATCCTAGGCCGGGAACTGCTGCACGGCGCAATGCGACCGAAATGAACGACATGATTATTTCTGGATACCAGTGTTAAGGGGGAGGCTGCCACCATGACAGATGGAGTTCATGGGAGAAACGTCCACTCAATCGACTTGTGAAGCATTCTCTTGTACGCGTCACTGTGCTGCTGGTGGGAATTCGTCTGCAATTCAGAGCACTCCCTTCGCTTGTGCAGGCCGCGAGGTGTTCGCCTCGGGTGACTCGCTCGCCTCCGTGACTTCGACCGAGTCGGTGCCTGGACTAGTGATTAGAGGCTTCGTTGCGGGAAACGTGACAGCCGGCTTGCGGCTTGGTGTGCAGCCGAGGTTCGCAAAGCGACATCCCAGGATCCGCAGTCCAAGCCCGGCAGAGCTGTAATGTCCAGAAGCGCTCGAAAGGACGGTCGCCTCACCGTGCTTGACACCATCGGGTTCGGTGACACGCGTCTTCCACCAGAGGTCTAATGCCTAGCAAGAGGAATTGAGATGGGGCCGACAGGGGATTCATTCTTCGGGAGGGTAGTGGGCCTTGCGGCCTTCCATGTCTGAGTGCTCCCACTCTCCATGTCAAGTCTTTGCATGCTCACCACTTGCTCAACCCCAGTCCCACCTTTCTTGCGACGTTAAAAGGGGGGACCTTCCCCGACGGTGCCACGGCTCATGTTGCAGGACCTGCCTTGTCGTTCGTCGTGTCTTACTGTGGCCTGAACTTGAGCCTCGTTGGTCTTCGATCATCTGCAGCTGAGCATCTGGAATCGCCAGTCTCGTGGAACCCGACGAGCGTCGGCTACAAGTCGTCAAACGCTGCCACGGCGGTGCTGGTGCTCGTGCTGCTCGTGATGTCTGCTGCGGCTGCTGCTGCAGGGATTGTTGCCCCAGCGGTAATTTGTCACCTCACATACTCTGCCAGCTGCTGCCAAGCTCAAAGAACCGACCATCTTGCTGGCACCTCCGTTCCGTGCAAGGTGGTCGTACGAAGCTTGCGGGACACTGCTTTGGAGGCAAGGGCCAAGGTAGCGCAGGTGCTATAAGCATCTCGAAGCATTGGTGTTTAGATTAAGATCGTGGCTTCACGAACTTCGGGGTTTGCCAATCCACATATCAGTGTCGAGCCCAGTGCCATTCTTCACCTGGCGCAGTCTGCCTGGCCTTACATTGGCTTCTGTGCAGCCGCTGCTATTTTTGTCTCCAACAACACATTGCAAGAGTGGGCAGCCAGCCGGAAGCCAGCCCAGCAGCAAGACGAGGCCCTCAGACTAGACCGAAGCTTCGTAGCATAGCTTGCAACGTTCGGCGTTGACGTGTGCCATGGGCGACTCCGCGGCAAAGAAGAAGGCCGGGGGGTGGAAGGCCTGCTGCGGAGTTTCTGCGTTTGCTTTGCGAGGAGCCGAAGCCGAAAGACGGAGTCAAGGCCCTGCCTTTCTCTTCCTTTCCGGGGCCTCAGCTCAAGTTCCTGTAGAGACATGCGGCGGAGGCGGCTAAGCCAGCTGAAAAGAAAGATGTGAAGCCTTCTGGCTGCACAGACATGTCCGGGATGCTTGTACAAGCCCTGCTCTGAGGAAAACCATAGACAAGAAGGATGCCAAGGATGGCAAAGCCAAGGAGGAGAAGCCAAAGGCCAAAATAGACGACAAGTCTAAGGCAAAGGCCGACAAGCCAAAGCCCAAGGACGAGAAGTCCAAGGCGAAGGCTGACGAGAAGCCCAAGACCAAGGCCAAGGTCGACGACAAGTCGAAGCCCAAAACGGAGGACAAGTCCAAGGCCAAGGCTGATGAGAAGTCGAAGCCGAAGACTGACGAGAAGTCGAAGGCCAAAGACAGCAAGGCCAAGGGAAATCTTTGGAGAGCGCCTCATTCCCGTTAGCGTGGCAAGTGATTCTGCACGTACAGAGGGCTGTCCCCTGACAATCCTCTGACACTTTCGATGCGATTCCCGATTGTTCCCTCGACATGCCAATCTGAGGACACAGGCGCAAAGCTAGGAAGCGATTCGATGCCACCAGGCCAAGAAGGCTCCTGCTGCAGCGGCTGCGGCGGAGGCCAGCGAGCGAAAGGCAGCAGCAGCGACTGCTGCGGCTACAGCCTCTTCGATGCAAGGGGCTCTCTGTACTTGAGAACTTTGCCACCCTCATTCATCACTCGTCACAGATCTCACAACAAACTTTTCCTTTCTGGAGGAAAGTAGCAGCACGATGGCGACAAACGTCGCACCCGAACTTAAAGTGTGTTCAACAAACTTGTCGAAGCAGTACCACAGGCTCTTGTTCAGTTTGACACCAGCATTATTGCACAGGTAGCAGGTAACTCGACGGCCGCGTGGCAGTAGGACTCAGCAAGAACGGGGACTAGGATCCAAGATCGAATCCAATTCTGTTGGATGGCGAATCTGCGAAATCCTGTGCAACCCAAAATATCACGAAAGTATATGACCGTTCTAATCAAAGTTCCTGTACCTTCACAGCCTCACTATTGAAGAACTCTCAGAGTGAAGTAGCCCCGCTGCAGTTGCAGGGAGGGTGGTCGCTAGCAACCTAGTTCAGATCCAGGCAGCAGGCAAGAAGCGCAAGAAGGAGCTGCCGTTTCGACACTGAGACCTAGGCTGAGCAAGTAGAATACAAAGCTCTTGACACGTGCCACTGGCAGTTCTAGCGTCACTTTGTCAGCAAACAAGAGTGATGAGACTTTTCCCATGAGCCGCAGGACGAGATCGAAGAGACCGCGCCCGAGCCGGAGGAGGACCTGTCGCCATCTGATTGCTGAGCCACGAGCTGCAGTTCGTTGCACCAGGACGACGACACTCGGAAACTGCAAGAGGCTTGACCCCGGTCTCGCGAACGCTGTGTAGAAGCGTTGCCCAGTGCATCGATGACTCAACTACTGCATCAGGGTGTCGTGGAGGAGCCAGGGGAGGCGCCGATGAGAGCCTAGTGACTCCAAAAAGAATGCAGAAATAGACTCCGAATTCTTTGAGCGCAGAGGCGAAGGCAAAGCCAAAAGGGGCTTGCGCTGCCGAGGCGGGGCCCGAGCTCTCGGCACCCAGTGCCCGGCGTAGTTACCAATGCTTCGAACGAAGCGTCAACGCAGGCTTTGGATGTGGATGAGAGCGAGGATCACGGTGCCTTGGATTTTTCCACAGCTCAAGAAGGGAAAGGGAGCTTGGGATCCGATGTTGTGTGGTGTGTTGTGAACTGCGGATCGAGGCCCACCACAGAAAGCCGCGAAGCCGCTCGGAATGAGAAGAGGAGACGTTCAGGCGACTTCCTCCTCGCTGCCTCGCACGATCTAAGGAACAGTGGAAAGCCCGGCCAGGCACCGGAGAGACTTAGACTTAGAGACCCTCTTCCCGACACTCAGTCAGCTTCCGCTCCCGGAGGTGGACCGGAGCCAGAGCCACGATCCAGGCCGTGTCCGAGAACTGACTGAGAGCGAGTGCAGGGAACGCTTTCTTCAGAGCAGGCGAAGAGTCGGAGGCCGAGGAGGCGGAGGCGGAGGCAACTCCGAAGCTTCCAAGTCCAGCTCAGTAACCTCGTGACATGCTGCCAATGAAATTCAATGTAGGATGGCAAAGAAAAGCCGAAGGAGAAAGGCCCTTGGCACGCACTTGCAAGCTTGAGCTCCCATGGAGTTTGAGCCAGATGTGTTTCTGACGCATAGCTCCAAGAAGTGGGTGCTGGCCAAAAGCCGTCTTTGCACACTGCGTTGTGGGACCAGGCTATGCCTTTCTAGCAGCTTGAAGTCGAAATTGGTGAAGGGGGGCTGCCCAGGTAAGGCTAAAGACAAGACAAAAGAGAAAGGAAAGGACAAAGAGAGGCCCTGGCGCTGGCCCTGGCCACGTCACGAGTCGTGTCACCATCATTCCTGCAATGCAAGCGTCCTGATCTTCGGTCGTCGCACTAGCAACAGCACAAGCACCAAAACCACGATCATCATCGCCTTATCATCATCACCACCTCCTCATCGTCACCACCACCATCATCATCATCATGGAATCATGGCCACCAAGGGATCATGGTTTGTAAGGGCTTCGTTGTCCATCAGACCCACATGGAAAGTGCTCACTTATCATGCTTGTCGCGTTCGTGGCAGCGACTTGCAGTGTTTCTTCGCGTTGGCAATGCTGCCAGCATCGGGTGGGACGAACAACATGGCGTGTTCGATGCCTAGAAGAATTAATGGCCTTCTGTGTTTCGCACACGCCTGGACTTCAGCATGTACTCTGGCTTTACAGGGCCAAACAGCAGCTGGAAGAGTCATGCCTGCAGCACAAGGGTCTGGCACAGCCGAAACGCCCGAGCGTTTCTCCACAGCCTTGCAGTGGGACTTGTGGAGTCCTTATTGCATGTCCTTTTCAGAAGGCTTACTGACCCTATTGACCCGCGGCATCGCTTCGGTCGAAATGTGCTCCAGAATCCAGAGAGACTGTTACTCAAAGGGGTGGTGCACTTTCTGCAAAATCACAGCTGTTCAGGGGGCGAGGCAAGAAGAAGAAGGGCAAGACCAGCTACAGCTATGAGGAGGACGTCTCCGGTGTTGCAAGAGATACAGTAGATTTGCAATTTCCCGCATCGTTGCATAGTGCCAACATGTGCCAACACGGTCACCCAGTCGGGCCTTGTGGCGTTTGCTCTTTGAGGATTCTGGGAGCTCTGACGCTTCGGCGGCGCGGCGGAAGAAGCGCCGTGCGAATGCCGGGCTAAAGCCGGCCTCAGGCTCCGTGCCCAGCGCTGCGGAGCCCTGCCCGGCCGACTTCGAGGCTTCTTGTTCGGGTGTCGTCTCACTTCGAGGCTTCGGGCTCGCGCCGCCCCCGGCAGCTGAGGCGGAAGAGCTTTCAGTATTTTCAGCTTGGCTTCTTGGTCTTTGCTCTTCGATGCTCTTTGCTTTGAGGCTCCCATGTCGGCTTTTAGCTCGGCCCCCACCCCCATGGCCGCAAGCTGCTCAGTACTGCCGGAGAACAGGCACACCTTTGTGTCAAAAGCTCAAGCTCCTCCAACTGTTTGAGGTCCTACCGGCACCTGTGGCGGGGCTTCTCACGAGCGATGTCGCCACCGACCTCCAGCGCATGCGCATGGCGGTCGAGGTGTCGGAGGGCAGAAAGGAGGGCACGCTTTGGCAAAAAAACTCTGCTTTCTGTGACTTGTCGTGTGCGTTTCATTTCGGAGGCTGCAACAGGCAAGACGATGGAGCCAAGGCGGGAGCAGGGTCTCCGTTATGTCTTCAGCAAAATGCATTTGGGAGGGCCACGAATCTTTAAGGGAACCCCGTGACCGGGCGCTCTCAAGGCCGTGCCGAGACGGGACTTTCCGAAAATTAGGGTACCTTATTTTGGGGTCCTTATAACAAGGATCCTACTATTTTGGGCACTATATTGAGGTCCCCTATTTTCGGAAACCGGACGGACGCCCTTTCCGGAATGACGGGGGCTCCTCGCGGCATTTCTGCTCTCCGCGGCTTCCACGCCAAATTCCTCCATGTCTGGTTCTGCCGGCCACGGCGCCATCTGGCGATCGTGAGCCTGGTTTTGCCGGAGCCCCTGTCCTCGTCATGGTCCTGGTCTCAGCCGGCGCCGTGGCCCGGCGGGCACCTTGGGTTGCCCTGTCCCGTACCGGGGCGGGAAGACGGAAGCCTGAATAAGCGGTTCCTGCGGACTCCGGTCGAAGTAAGCACAGACAGAGTGCAAACGACGAGCGCGGGAGAGCCCCATGCCAGGCTCAAGCTCGACCAGCGAGAGGCACATGCACTGAGCAGTGCTCTGCAGTGCTCTGCAGTGCAGTGCTCTGCAGCAGCAGATCCCGCTCAGACTCCAGCGCAGCCTCAGGAAGAGCGAGAGCAGAAGCTGAGCATGGCGGAGGATCTGAGAGACGCCTTGCTGGATCCTTCAAACATGCCCCTTGGCCGCCTTGAGTAACCTTTTGCTCCTCACTTCCCCCGAGTCGCTGCATTGACACTGAGGAAGCAGCTGCTGACGAGAACAAGCCTTCTGTCGGTGACGCAAGCCGAGGTGCGAATGGGACGGGGGATTCTTCAGGCCTTTAGGCGGATATCGGGCTCGCACATGACAAGGATGGCAAGATCTTTCTACGCGCGCCGTCAAAGCAGTCAATGAAGGTCTGCGCCTCGCTGCCTTACGCACTTGCAGGGTCTGATAGGCTGGTGCGGCACATCACAGTGCATACAGGACGCAATGTCGGTGCTGGCAAGAGTGGCGCATCACTGCCGGGCACTTGACGTTGATGATTATACCAAGTTCCGGGATGCAAATTCCGACAGTTGAAACTTCCGGCACTGTGTCAACTTCCTGATGCTCCTTTGGAACGTGCTTTTGCTTCAGGTGCCTGGGGCTGCAACATGACCAAGGCTGCGCAGAGGGCTCGTGCCAGCTAAGGGGGAAAGGAGTCTATAGTCCAGCCTAACTAAGTTCATCAACATCCCTGGCAACACCAAGCATTGCCACTTTTGGGGAGCTTGCAGAACAGGATGCACAAGCACAACTATTCGCTGTATTCTTCGGGTTCATGAGAGTTCACTCCGTGGCTGCAGCATTCACTTCGAGCACTCTCCGGCAGGTAGGACTGCTCTTGCGCAGCCTGGCTGCAATCGTCAGCCTCTTGGGGCCTCCCACGCAGCTTCGGAGCCTCTCTGAGACAAGGAGAGAAGCCGGAGAAGGCGATCCACACGGTCGTCATCCGGCTAGCTGCTACTTCAAGCCGGATGCAGACTCAGGAGATCCCAGAGCCAAGGGAGGGACGAGGGGTGTTGCGGTGGTGGGCACAAGGGACTAAAGTGACTAAACCCGACCTGCTGCACGCAAATATAGGGCGACACTGTTCGAGGAGGGCCGCGTGAACCCTCGCAGCGACAAGCTCCGAATCGGCACAGATGCGCGTCAGTGCCAGGCGGACGTCAGAGTAGGTCCAATCTGGTCAGTCCCTCACACAAGTTCAAAGCCCACCGCAGCACTCCGTGATTTCAGTTGCTTGACTGAACAGCGCAGGTCGTTGTGGAGGCCATTGCGGGCATCAGCCGGAAGCACGCGACCATCTCCTTTGAGCAGGAGTCTGTGGCAGCACAGTGATCAGCAATCTTTGAGACCAGTACTAGCACGAGGGTTTGGCCGCCTTACGATCCTGCGAGCTGAGGATAAGGGTGCCTGCTGCTTGGCAAGCTATTAAAGACCTGGGCCGGAAGTTTTGCGACGCTTGCAGTATGCAGCATGTTTGGACGCTCGTGCCACCCTTGGCACTGCATACGGCTCAGGCCACACACCCATTCCTTCTTTCATCCAGTTTCTCACAACAGTTTCTGCGGTTCAGCATCACCCACTTTGTGCAGTCAGGTCGTTCAAGCAGATCTTGCAGATCCGTAGCCAGTCTCGACCTGCAGCAGTCAATTTGCAAGCGTGCGACTCACAGCACATGCGTTGCTTCCAGCCGGATGGCTGATTCTTGCCATGGGCTGCTCCTGCTGCAAGAGCAAGAAGCCTGGGGCAGCGGCGCCGACGGTGCCGCCAGTAGTGATAGAAGAGTTCCTCGAGGCTGGGGCCTGCAACCAATCAAGGTTTTCTTGGACGCGTGACCATGTTGAGGAGGCAAAGCCTGAGGACCCACCGTCAAGGCGGGGGGAAAGCTGCAGTGGCTCCTTTGAAGTGCCCTTCCGCACAGGCCGCAGGAGCCAGAGTTCAGGACGCTGACAAGCACTTTGTCTTGTGTGGGCGCTTTTGTCGCTTTTGTGGGCTCTCGAGGATCGGCCTGGGCTCGCTCTTTCCGAACTTCGACTGTCGAACAACACAGGGCCGACCCCTCGGACAAGGGCGCAATGCGGGAGCCGTAGGCGCATTTCTGCTCGCTAGGTGACTTTCGCTTTTATGAATTTCTGGAAAAGCAAGCAGAGCATGGCTTCACCATGCTTTTCTCGCATCCCAAGGACGTAGGTCGAATCGTTGAAGCAGAGGGCAGTCGGGAAGTCAAGTCATCCCAGCAGTGTCTTGACCAGGACTTCACCCCAGTTTGCACCACAGAGATTGGTGCATGCCAAGTGCTGGCGAAGGACTTCCAGCGACGTGGGGTCGAGCGCTCACGAGACAAGAGCCCTCAAATGCTATCGCGCACCCGCTTGACTCAATGTCTACGAGTACCAGTCCCTGTTATGCTTTGGTTTCGTGAGGTGCAGCTGATCGGCCTGAGTTGCGACTCCGTGGAGCAGCACCGGAAGTGGGCCGAGGTCGAGGGGTGTCAGTTTTTTGGAGATTTCCTCGCTTGTGGCTGTTCCAGCCCTGCAGGATGTCCTCGTGGCCTCGAGGCAGACCGCCAAGGCCTCACAGCTGGACTTCCCCATCATCGCGGATGAAACTCGGGAAATCGCCAACTTGTTGGGCATGATGGTAGCTTGGCTCGGTTTTGTGGAGACTTCGAAGGCCCATGGGCACCCCCCCCCCCCCAAAGCCGTGGCAGGATCCTTTGGAGATCGACGATTTCAGCAAGCTTTCCATGCCTGCCCGAGCACTCTTCCTCATAGGCCGGGAAGGGGGCCGTCCTGGGGTGCTTGCCCCGGCTTCGGGAGCCTTCTAGCTCCCTTACTAGCCTCGGGTTAGGACTCCTAAGGTAGGCTAAGGTAGGCCAGGAGATCGAAGTGCAGAACCGGTTAGAAGGCAGCTGTAAACGGTTCAGAAGGATTCGTTTGGACAGGCAGGGGAGAAAAGGTGAGATTTCAAAAGCCTGGGGAGTTTTCTGGCGAGCAGGCCCCGACAAGCGCCTTCGTCTCACGATCCTTTATCCGGCCACCACCGGTCGCAACTTTGGCGAGGCTCCCGCACCACAAGGTTGCCTGATAGTGATAGTGAGGTGGATGTGTGGGACTCAGACTTGTGGCCTTGGGTGGCTTTTGGCCTTGAGCCGAGAAGGTTGTCCTGGATTCACAACAGAAGTGCAGACGCGCGGCGCTGCTTCGACGTGCGAAGTGATTGATGCAATGAATCTCGCGTGGGACCTCGCGTGAGAGAGAGAGGGAGAGAGCAGCTGCAGCATGTGTCGTCGAGAGCATACAATCATCGTTACTACGGTATCGTACTCTTTAATTATGGCTCTAGCCTTCCAGATGATTTATGCTCGTTCGTCACACCCCGGACCCCTGTTCCTGCAAAATACTTGCGGGTGGGCTTGACGCCCGGGGGTCTTGACCGACCCCCATGCCCGAGAGAGAGAGAGAGAGAGCAGTCGCAACTCAGAGGCTACTGTGCCGTGTGAGCTGCGCAGGTGCTGCGGGTCATTGACTCTCTCTACCTCACAAGCTGCGCCCAGGTCGGTGCTCCCCGGGGAAACACCACCCAAGTAGCCATGTCTTCTGATCGCTGAAGGTCGGTACTCCGGCAAACTGGCATCGAGGCGACGATGTTCTCCTCGCCATGAATGCACCTGAGGTGCCTCACTCGGGATGGTTCCAAACTTTCCACGGCCTTGTAAAATGACAAAAAGCATCGCATCCTGCTGGCTCATGGTCATCACCATGCTACTGAAGATGTGCCGACACAGCTTGGCATAGCTACAACCACCAGCCATTCAGGGGCTTTTCAATGTGGCCAAAGAGGAGCCAGTGATTTCGGGCAAGCGCCGCTGGACTCTTCCTTGGTCGTGGTTGAGATTGAACTTCATTTTCAAGATTCGGGGTGGTGTGGGTGCGGGACGTCAGAAGCTCAAGCTTTAATTTAAGAGAAATCAGGAAGAGGCTTACTGAACTTCCTCGAGCTGCTGAGCATCGTCGGCACTGAGGCTATATGCGCCACTTACCACCACCGACAGTGAGACCCAAGCAGCGGATCCCGGATTTGGGCGAGGCGGGTGACAATCGCATGTTTCTTCGCGCAGCCGTTCCCATGCAAGGTTCCGCAAAGCGATACCGCGTTCAAGATCAAGTCAGACACCTAGCTCATCTGGATCCTTCTTGGAGCCAGACGGAAGCTCCCTGAAGAGTTGATCGACATGTCCTAAGTCGGGATTTTCGGGATTCGGCAGGCTGGGTGCCATCTTTCCGAACTTTGACTGGCACGCCACTTCGAAGGGCATCAGCCGCTTCCACCAACTCTTGGATCGGATGAAGGCCCTCTTGAACTGTCTGCGTGATGATGAGCCAGTACTGAGACTGTATTGCAGCATCCAATCCTGGCAGCCTGGCAGGGTGCCCTGACGCTCTTGACACTCGGTCTGCACCTGTGGAAACCAACTCTTTACAGACAAACATTGCATGCCCTCTGCTTGTCTCACTCAACTCAGTATCTGTTGGCCACGCAACTTCGACGCAGTGGCTACAACGGAGTTGATGTGCTGCATGCAGGCAGCGACGGTTGGATTGAAATTGAGGCATTGTTATTACAGAGCCAGGAACATGTGGCTGCAGTTCCTCCTAACATGAAGCCACCGCGGTGCATTGTGGATGTGTCGCTGTTCCCCGAGTTGCCTTTTGATGTACGCTATGTCGAGAAATGCAGATAGAACCACAGCTCACCATCCTTGGTGCGCTTCGCCGCAGATGGGAGCTGATCTCAAGAAGCGGGGTGTCGCTCTGCGTCCTGGCTGAGAAGCGTAGTGGCGTAGTGCATTGAGCTTTGTTGCAAAATGAGAATCCTCAGGGTTGGGATGACCTGCGACACAGTGGAGGTCAGGGCCCCTTTCCGAACGGCGAAGCGCCTGTCGATTTCTCATGTAGGACCAGAAGAGCTGGGTGGATGACTGCCTCGTTCTGGCGGGCCTTGGAGGTAGCACCGAGTACCCGACGATGATTCCGGCATGCTGGCTTGCACTCAAGGGGGATCATTATATGGGGTTGAGGTATGGCAAGCGTCTTCCACCGCTTGTCAGAAGCCTTCCAAGGACAAGTCGCATCACATTGCCCACGAGCTTGGCATCTTGTCTACAAGTCCCAAGTCTTCCGCTGTGCTGTGTCTCAGGTTGCATTCTGTGCCCTGCTCCCTCTGCATGAAACGTGAAGCTGGAGTCGCTGTGTGTAGCTAAGGCCTGCTTCCTCGTGGGAATAGGGACAAGGACACTTCGCCGGCACGGGTGATGTTCGTGCTTGACCAGCAGAAGAAGGTACGACTGAGCCGCTCGATCCGAAGCCCATCGAGGGCTGTTTGAATTACCCTCGTTGCAGAAGAATGCTGCAAGTTGTGAAATCAGATCCGCTAACATGTATAGGCCAGCGGAGACCAGACTTTGCACATGTGCAGACATCCAGAACTTCGCTACGCAACAACGCATGGCTCAAGTGTGCGAGCAAAAGATGTTGATGTGCGCCAGTGCGGAAGCCTAGAGCTTTTGCACTGGTAGCGGAGCTTTATGCTCCTAGGGGCCGAAGGGCCCATCCGCGCTACCACTGCGCTTTTGACGAGAGCCATGGCTGGGGTTCTCGAGTTACTTCGCTGGCCGAACTTCATTTCGGACGAGGACTTCGGCCAAGCAGGAACCGAGGGCAAGTTTGGCATCCCGAGGTTCAATGGAGAAGCAACCAGGCTCAGCGAGTACAAGTTCCGTGTCCAAGCCCGCATCATGAAGGAGAAGGCGCTCACCAAGGAGGAGCGCGAGAAGCTTGGACCACTCGGCCTGAGACTTATCGAGGGTCTCAGCGGAACTGCTTTGAGGCTGGCGCAAACTATGAGCATGGAGGACCTCGGCAAGGAGGACGGCGCGAACAAATTGGTGGATATCTTCGAGAAGGCCCTCAGACCGAAGAGGATGCAGCAGGCCCGCGAGTTATACCAGGCGGGCTCTTCACCGCATGGGTTGCTCTCGAGGCAACAAGGCGAGCCGATCAGCACTTATGTGTTGCGGAGGCGGACGTGGTACCGGTGCCTCGTTGACTGCAGCGCCGAGATGAGCCTCCCCGACATGGTCCTTGCCGAGCAGCTGCTGGCCTCTGCTGGGATTTCGCAAGATCACCAATTGTTGGTGAGGACGGCGCTCAAGGGCGAGATCTCCTTTGATGCCGTTGCCGACGAGCTGGTTGCCCAACACGGCCGGATGCATGAGCGTGAGAGAAAAGGGCCGCAGCACCGCGGGCCAAGCCACAAGGGAGGACACGGAAAACCCTGGTCCACAGGGGCACGCACGTGGAGGCCGACTGGCTACCTCGCCGAGTACCCCGCCGAGACGGACCAGGACTACCATGACGACCCCGCGGAGGCGAACGAGGAGGATGAGCCGGACCTCGGCGAGCTGACGATTGCCGAAGAGCACGTGGGCTACTTCGTTGAGGACGGGCTGGACCTCGAGGACAACGACACGGCAGAGCATGCGGCCGAACTGGTGCAAGCCGAGCAGGAGGCCTACATGGCACGGAAGGGTGCCGCTGGCAAGGGCGGTTTTCGCCCACCTCCTGCGAGACAGTTTGCTGTGAGTGGTTCGCTCTCCCTGGAAGAACGGCGGCAGAAGGTGGCAGACTTGAAGAGCCGCACCACGTGCCGTCGATGCGGCCAGCGTGGGCACTGGTCAGGGGATGCAGCCTGCCCGCAAGCCAAAGGAGCCGGCCGAGCAGGAAAGACGAGGCCGGGAACCACGACTCCGAGCTCCTCCAGCGGCAAGCCAGACAACAAGGGAACCGGAAAGGGGTCGAAGCAACGGCCCGTGTACTTTGCCATCCGAGAAGAGCCTGGAGAACACCACCGACAAGGTATGATGGCATACCGAGCTGGCCGGGGATATCACGCTGTTCCTCCCCCTCGTGACCTTGGTGGCCCCCCGTCTGGGGTGATTGACCTAGAGGAGGACGACAGCCCGGCCAACACTACAGCCTGGAGTTTGGTGCCGGCCGAAACACGGCCACAATGGACGGACCTCCCCGGGCAGCACAGCATGGTCAGAGCCGAGGATCGTGCTAATTGGACCGACCTGCCTCAGCCCGGGCCGACGCAGAGCGAGATCGAGGACCTCATGTTGCAAGAGGCCCTTGGGAAGATGGAGGTGGACGCCCCTGTGGCACCACAGCCTTTGGAGGACCACCGGCCTCCAGCCGCAGCACAAGGACCGCCAAGCACACCCCCGAGAACGACTTCGACGAGCACGCCCCCGACTTCGACAGCCAGGCCCTCTACCAGGACACCGTGCCCACACCACCGTACGACGACTAAGGGGTCCAACGCTCATGTGCGACAAGTTCGGTGAAGAAGAAGCTTGGCGAGATTTCCGCTCCCACGGCGGAGCGCCGGCCACCCGGGCCAGGGACATGCCGACACAACCGGGTGAGCTGGAAGGGAACGAACGCCTTTGCATGGAGGCGTACCTGCCTTGACTGTGGTCACCTGGAAACCGGGACCTCAGCGAGCAAGCCTGCGAAAGGAGTTTCCATGGGAAGTTCTAGTGCAGCCTCTCGCCGCACCGTGCCGGACGAGGACCCCGAGGAGGAGATCTACATGACGAAAGAAGAGGTCGAGAGGGCCGTGAGTACCTTTAGCACAGCGGTGCAAATTCGCATGGCGGAGGTCGGCCCCACCAACTACATCAGAGGGAGCACCTTGCGAGAATCCCTCAAGCATATCCTCCGTATGGTGACCGTTTTCAATGAGCCCCGACAACAGCCTTCAATGCAGGAGGCCAGCCCCTACCGAATGGCGCCGGGATCGACAACACCGGCGGGATCTACGACACCGACTGGACATGAAGAACACCGCCGGCAACTACAAGAGAAAGGCCACACCCTTGCCACCGAAGGAAAGTACAAGGGCCAGGCGGTGTACCAGGCGTACCGTGACACTGGCTACCGCAACTGGGTGCGCGACAACATCGACGAGCACAGCGGCCGTGGCATGAAGCAGCTCAAGAATGTCATGAAGGAGTTTGCCGACTACGAGGCCGCGTTTGGGGAGCTCTACCAGGAACACCGGGTCGCCTATATGGTGGCCCCGCCAGCCGAGGAGGAGCCACTTGGAGCCGAAACCTCTCTGGTGGCTGTCCTGGACACCGGGTGCAATACCACATGCCACGGGGAGCGCTGGATGAGACGCTTCCTGACCTTGACCAGGCAGCCAGCACCGACCTTGCGACCCGACAACGGAGGAGGTTTCAAGGCAATCGGCGGCCACATTGGGACCACCGGGGTTCGGAAGCTGTGCCTGGAACTTTCAGACGGCGGGCATGCTGAAGGAGAGCTTCGGAGTGTGGAGATAGAGGGTAGCGATGCCCCTCTTTTGGTGAGCTTGGAAGCACAGCGCCGGCTGGGATTGGTGCTTGACCTGAACCGCGAGATCGCCCACTCCCAGCTTCTCGGCCGTGATCTCCGACTTGTTCACCACAACGGGTTGTTTGGACTTCGGCTTCTTCCTGGGGACCTTGCCCACTTTGCCTGCGAGGACCACCCCGAGGACCCGGACAGCCCTACAGATGACAAGGAGGACCCCGTTGGCAACCACAACCTTGCCGACCACAGCGACCACACGCACCACCACAAGGACGAGAGCGACAACGATAACCCGGGCGAAGAGCCACTGGCCTTAGGGTATCTCGCCTTTGACGGGATGAAGACGCACGCCATGAGCAAAGGGCAGGCCACACGGCACAAAGAAAACCTCGACAACGTCAAGGGGAAGGACAAGCTGCTTTGGAACCAGGTCTGCCCCTACAACTTGAGGAGGCGCCCTTGTGTGCCGAGAGGTTGCCGCACCTTCCTCCTTGAGGTCTTTGGCTGTGCTATGCTTACCAGTGTGCTCCACCACGGCTACGGCTACCCCGTGTCAATGCCCATCGGAACGGGCCACCACCCTGGAGGGGAGAACCAAGGCGACCGAGACGATCAACCATGATGACCCGTATCTCCTTTGCTTTTCTCCCGGACCTGAGCCGGCGGAGGACAACATGCCCGAGAAGGACCTCAACCACCACAACCCGCAGCGAAAACAATGGCTACACATGGTCAGGTGGATGTGCGACACTATGCTGGACAGGCTGAAGAAGGGACGACAAGTGCTCTTGGCACACCCTTCTCGGAGCTCTCTCTGGAACACCTGGGATATCAAGAAGCTGCTCGGCGACCCCGAGGCCATGGACACCTCTTCTCTGGAACCTCTGGAGAAGATTGAGCTCGAGGCGGCCGGGGGCGCCACCACTGGGAACAAACACGACAGCTACCACAAGAAACCCGTCACCTTGGTCAAGGAACAGAATAAGTTCGATATTTCCACCAGTGGGAACAATGACAGCTACCGCAAGAAACCCGTCACCTTGGTCACGTCGTCCAGAAGACTGAAGCAGGTCGTCTGGGGGGTCAGAACACATGATCTACATGGACAATCTCATTTGCGTGGTTTTGCGAGTCTTGGACCGGACGGTTTCTGGACACAGCACCTGTGTGAGACTGTGGCCGATGCCCACATCAAGGACCTGGAGAACTTGATGGTTCGGACGGCCTTTCCTGCAGAGGCTGAGCAAGAGACTGGATCCGACGAGCCAGGAGAAGCGATGCCACCCCTACTGGACGCCATCTATGAAGACCGTGACCGAGCAACGGGCAGGCCCACTGGGATGGACCTCTCGACGAGCAGGCCCTACAGGACGCGGTGAAGCAGCTGGACCACCTCGAAGGCGAAGAGAGCAGCGGGATGAAGGACCAGAGGGCGCAGTGGAGAAAGCTACCGGAGGCCACCAGAATAGCCGTGAGAAGGTTGCACACGATGACCGGGCACGCCTCGGTGAGCTCTATGCAGCGACTCCTCAGAACCGCTGGAGGAGACCCTGAGGTGATCAAGGCACTTCCTCACTTCCACTGTCCAGCCTGCAGCCAGATCAAGAAGCCGGAACCACGGCCCAGCACGCGGGCAGCAAGCGATTACCGCTTCAATGTGGAGGTGGCCCTGGATTGCTTTGAGGTTCGAGACGTGGCCAGGAACCGCTACACTATCCTCTCGGCGGTCTGCATGGGAACGCTCTTTCACACGGCGGCCGTTGTATCCGAGGTTGGCGGCGTTCCGTCTTCTGCGCGGTGCCTCGAGACCTTCAAGAAGATGTGGCTGGACTGGGCCGGGCCACCAAGCCGGCTGGTCCTGGACAGAGGGACCCACAACAGAGGAATTTTCGCTGAGACGGTGACCTCGATGGGCACATTGCTGCGGTTTGTTGGCACAGAGGCGGCCCACCAACTTGGACGTGGA